TGCTCAACATCTGATAAACAAAATATGGTATTTACATACAATGGAATACTACTCAGCCAGTAAGGAGAAATAAAGTCTTGATACAAACTACAATATGTGTGGGACTAGAAGACTATGCTGAGTGAAAAAAAAATCATAAAAAGATATTAGTTGATGTACCTTACATTAAGAAGGAAAAAAACAAAACAGGAAAAGGCAAATAAATGTATGGAGACCCAATATTATTTTAGGTGGTTACCAAAGGTAGGGGGAAGGGGGAGGCATTGTCTATGGGGTAGCTGAGTTTCATTCGATAGTGATGAAAAAATTACAGTAATGATTAAGGGTAGGGTTATAAAGCCAATAAATGTAATTATCAGTGAATTGTATGTGTGTGAAAAGTAGGGAAAAATTGTAAGATACGAGGGGGTTTAAAAAGTTCACGGAAAAATTCCATCATCTTTTCATTTAATTTTCCCTCTGATTTTTGAAGATCCTTGTATTTACAAAGTGGTAAAGGGCAGGTGCCAGGAGTTGGGGAGTAGCTTCTGAGACAGCTTCTGTACAACCAAACACCTAGTGGGAAGTTTGGAGAATTAAAGTCATGATTTCATGGGACATACTAGTTAATGACCTATTGTCATATTCAATGCTTCTGTTCTACCTATTCGTTTGTTTTATGATGCCTGGGGTCTTAAACGCTTGTAAGCAGTCATTCAGGGTGTAGTTACGAGTCTCTCTTTGCCTAGAGCACTGGTTCTCAACCTTCCTAATGCCGTGACCCTTTAATACAGTTCCTCATGTTGTGATGACCCCCCCAACCATAAAATTATGTTCGTTGCTACTTCATCACTGTCATTTTGCTACTATTATGAATCAGGCAACCCCTGTGAAAGGGTCATTCGACCCCCAAAGGGGTCACGACCCACAGGTTGAGAACCACTGTCCTAGAGCAACAAAGGAAAAAGAAAAGTCAGGAGTATAGGCTGACAGAATGAAGTGTGTGGCTCATTTCCATCCTGAAAAACTTCTACCCTTGCCATGAGAGTAGAACTGGAGGGTGCCATGGTACCACTAATGGACCCTCTGATCAAAGAATCTGCAGATGAGGCATCTCATTAGCAGCAAGAGCCAGGAGGGAGTGGAGCACCGTCCTCTGGACCCAAGATTCCTGTGCAGTGAACCTCCTGGGGCAAGGTAGAAAAGGGGAGAACCTACAAAAGAATCCTGAAAAAGGGGGGAAATTAACAGTATTTCAAATTTTCATAGATTCCAGATTTTCTACCACCATAGAGGCTGGATGAACTACTGAGATAATCTTTAAACCAAAAATATCCCAGAACTCTTCTTAACACCAAATAATAGTTTATCTTAGCTAATGAAGACTAATCCAAGAAGCTATGGATGTGGTAGCAAGATGGGAGGAAAAGCTTATAATAATCTGCAATGTGTACATGATAGAACCTTACTTGCTGTAAGTGAGGAGAATTTGAAGCACTGGCTGATGAAGGTCAAGGACTGCATGTAAAAACCCAGATCCTCACAGCTTGACCAATAGGTAGCATTACAGTAGACAGAGAAAAGACTAAAGGGTTATATCTTGCTTGGAGTCACAGTGTTTGTGGAAGCAGCAGTCAAGAAATCAAGCACAGAACCACACTGAGTAAATTTGCTGCACAAGACCTCTGTGTTGAAGAGCAAGAATGATGTATCTTTGAAGAGTAAGGCACGCCTGGCCCAAGTCATAGTATTTTCATTCACCTCATATGTATGTGAAAATTGAATAAGGAAGACTGGAGAAAATTCAATGCATTTGAATTATGGTGCTGTCAAAAATTGTTGAAAGTATCATGGTCTACCAAAAGAAGAAATCTGTCTTGGAAAGACAGCCAGAATGCACCATATAGGCAAGGATGGTGAGACTTTGTCTTACGTACTTGGGACATGTTTTAAGAGAGACCAGTCCCTGGAAAAAAAGACACCATGCTTGGTAATGGAGAGGGGCAGTGTAAAAGAGGAAGCCTTTCAGAAATATGGGTTGACACCGTGGCTGTAACAATGGGCTCCACTCTGACAATAACCGAAGCTGGCGCAGGAGTAGGCAGTGTTTCCATGAGTCAGAACTGGCTAGACAGCACCCAACTACAGCAGCAACAACAAGTGTGTGCCTTGAACATTGTGTTCTTTTAAGATCTGTGGAAATCTATGGGAACAAATTGACAATAGGAACTTGCAAGAGAAGAAATTCAGGATACAGTGAGTTTATGTTCATGAGGTAGGAATAATTCAGAAAGAGAGAATGTTTTCACAACTCAACGTAATCACTGTCATTGAATTGTACATAGAAAAGCATTTGAATCTATTCTGTGTATAGTCTCAACAATAGCAAACATCATTTTTCAAAAGACTACAAGCAGCATAACGTTTTTCTAAAGCTCACCGACAGCCACAGCAAATTTTTGAGGATATACGACTATGGCATAAAACAAAGTAAACTTCAAGAAAGTTTACTTTATTCCGTGGAGAGAAGGAATAAGGTAGGAAAGAAACGGATGCAGGAATGGTATGGGTAAGAGTCTAATCCTCAGATTGCAGTGGGCTTGACAGGTCAGCTTTTTGGCGAATGCTTCATAGCTGATATATCTTGTGTATAGTTTCTAGTAGACGCTAAAAAGTCTAAAATTAATTTTATATTAAACGAATTGTGTGGGAAAATGAAGGGAGAAGGCCTTTTCTTAGTATATCAGTCCTGAAAGAAAGCAAACACAAAGACAGACCAAGAGCCCCTGGTGTCACTTGTAGCACAGATAGACACTGTGCCCAGTGACTGGGAAATTATCTCAGTGACTGGGGAAATGTGGTATGGAGCAGGCCCATCTTTGGGTAGAAAGAAGCAAAAGCACGTAGCAAGCAAATCAAGTAGCAAAATACAGTAGCAGGTGCCATTTCAGAAAAGATAACACAATGGCATCTGAATTTTATGTAAGACAGTTAACTTGGATAGTGTTTTTCTCCATGTTTCTGAATAGAGGAGAGCCAATAGAGGGGGAACTGTATCCCATGTGAACTCATAGAAAAAGACAAATATGATTGTTCACATTATCTTGCTTCCATGAAGTGTTTCTTCTTGAGGAATGGATAGATGCAGCTCACATTTTTGCCAGGAGAGTAACATTAGAGGTTTTGAATTCTAGGTGCACACTCGAATCATCTGGGTAACTTTTGAAGTACATAGATGTAGTCATCGTGAGGATTCCTGGTGGAGTTGTGGATTGAGAATTGGTGACTAACGACAGGGTCCGCAGTTCTAAATCACCAGCCACAAAACAGGAGAAAGATGAGACATCCTACTCCCCTAAGAATTTACAGTCTTCCCTCAAGCTTGAGGAGTCTCTGCTCTGTTCGGCACCAGTTTCTTTGACTGCTACTACTTTTTTACTTTTTGAAGAATGAACACATTTACATGGTAAAATAATTCAAGTCATACAAAATACGAAAGCAAGTAAGCATCCCCCCTGGAGGTCAGCCTCCAGTCCCTTAGCCCTCTCCCCACCCGAGTTAATCACTGTTCGTTATCTTATGTATCCTCTCAGAGCAATTCTATGCATCTACATGTTTATAAATATGTATGTTTATGTATGTCTACTTTTAATACAAATGGTAGCATTCTTTTTTTTTTAACATTTTATTAGGGACTCATACAACTGTTATCCCAATCCATACACACATCAATTGTGTAAAGCGCATTTGTACATTGTTTCTCAAAACATTTTCTCTCCATTGAGACAAATGGTAGCATTCTATTACCACCACTACCACACTACAAAAAGAATTTACAGTCCTGTACACCCACAGGGGCCCTTTAGGATTGCTATGAGTCGACATCGACTCGATGGCAGGGAGTTTGGGGTTTTATTTGGAGAAATATTGTTACTGTATTGTACACAGATGAGTACACAATGGATAGGCAGAAGTTGGTCCTTAACTACATAATGCTTGAGACGCACTTGCATGCTTCATTTATTTTCATTGCGGTGTGACTTTGTGCTCTGAGTACATCACTATTTTACTCAGTCTCCTTTTAAGAAATGTGCGTTGTTTTCAAACCTCGGTTATGAATAGAGCTGCTATGAACGTGGCATCACACTCTGGTGATGAGTTTATGGTGCTGGCTGGTGTCGTCTCCATCTGAGATTGCACCATCATGATTCCCCACCTTTAGGGTCCTTGCTGGCTTTCCGTGTGGCTCCCACTCTAAAGCCCACTGCTGGAATTTCACATTGAGGGTTCTGGAGAGAAGTACAAGCTTGCTTTATTCCTAGAAACATTTATAATTCAATCTTTATTTGACTGTATAACTTTGTCTATGATATTTCCCTCATTTTGATAGGAAAGAAACAAGATTTTTAACCTCTGTGACCTGAGTGTGTAAAATGGGGGGAAGATCTATCTTTCATGTAATTGGGAATGTTAACTATAAACCTCACTAATTAAAAATGGTTTGAATTCAAAATTTAGGAGTAGTTCACTTGGAGATTTTATATTTTATAACACTATTCTGATGATAATTATATACACAGGGTCTTCAAAAAGCTCATGGGAAATTCTGTTACCTTTTCATTACATTTGCCCGCAGACTTTTTAAGGCCCACTCATACATACTTGACCTAGATAGAAAATACAGAGACTTTCTGGGTTACTTCCTAAAGAGATTTTAGGTTAACAGTTGACCAAGACACCTCAGAGTCACTGCCATCAAGTCAATTCTGACCCATAGCAACCCTCTGGGACAGGGAGACCTGGCCCTGTGGGTTTCCGAGACCATAACTGCTTCCTAGAGTAGAGCGCTTCATCTTTCTCTCACGGAGCAGCTGGTGGTTTTGAACTGATGAACTCTTGGAGTTAGCAGCACAATGTATAGCCCATGCATGTATGATAAACTAATGAGCTCACAAAGATCACTTTGTCTTAAGAGAGTGCTTGACTGCTGGAGTTAATAGGTATCTTTTTTTATTTAATAGGCATCTATTTTTATCTGGCCAGGAATTACTCTTAATTCTAAGGAGAAATTGGAAGCACCATGGGAGATGACAGTGAGTGGCTAAAACTGCCGGTTGATCAGAAATGTGAACACAAGGTAAGGCTTCAGACTCACATTTTGGTGTCAGTGTCTTGGCTTGTCACTCAGGTTGTCATTGTTTTCTAACTCAATGGAAAATGAAATTTTCAAGCCTTAAAAAATTTTTGGAAAAGAGTTCTAAGAAAGGTGTATAAATGAAGCGAAAATCATGTTGAATATATAAAAATTATTTTATAACAGTTTGGGTTTTTTTTGTTTTATAATAAAACAGGAGCAGCCAGCCTCATCTCTCTCTTGCAGAGTGACTGGTACGTGTGAAATACCAACTTTGTGGTTAGCCTCCCAACAAGCTAGCCCACAGTACCGCACCGATAGTACTAACTGGCTGGCTTTGTATTGTCCTAATATATATATATATATGTATATATATACACACACACACACACACACACACACACGTGCGCATACATACATACATACACACGCACACAAACAATTCAGTAGCTGAGAACTTAGTATTCATTGCAAAGAAAATTTTTATATAGAGTTGTACTCATATTCTATATTCAGCCATACAACTTGAACCTTATTTTAGCTTATGTAATCAATATGCCAGTACTCTGTAAGATTAATACCTACTCTCAAACTACTGATCTTTCTTATTCTTTCTATCTTAAGTTAACAAAAAATAATTGATCGTATATATATATATGTATATTTCATCATTATTTCCTCTCAACTCTCAAGTTGATTTCACTCATTACTTAATAGTTTTCCAAATTATCTTGCTTTTCCCCCTTATTTTAAGTTGCCCTTAAGAAAAATATTTACTACTCAGTATATTTAAAACCTCATTCTTGTTGGTTTAACTTTTTTCCTAAAGTTCTCAGATGAACTCTTCACTTTTTTATGTTACTGGCTGTTTTTTTGCTTTTGTTGGTTGTTATAAAAAAAAATAGAGGTAACATAACTTTTGCTGAATCAACATTTGTCACTTGTATAGTTCAGTGAAACCAGTTGCATCTCCATCCATCAACCATATTGCTCAACCACCACCAATATCCACGGCCATATTTTCTATCATTAGCCTTTCTTTTAGTTTGTTTTGAGTCCATTTATGTCCCTACTGTTCACTATTCAGATTTATGTTGCTAAAATATAGTTAGGTGTATTGATTTACACAGTTGTATGCATAAAGCTCTACATATGTAGAGCAGAAATTTGTCATCCAGACCCATATAACTTTAAAAGCCACTCCTTTTAATTAGTGAGCTGGATTGAATGTCGTACCAGTAATCAACATGTTCCCTCTTCAATGGCCACATGAACAGTAATCGACTCAATTTTTCTAATTAGTATCAAAATTAGCAGCAAATAAAATTTTGGAAGGGAATTTTAGAACGTATTTTGAAAGATAGCTGCTGTAAAGCTTTTTGGTAAATATCTTTTCTCACAGAAAGGGCAGGCAAAATAGCTAAATCTCTTGAACGCTTTTTAAATTGGTTACTGTGGGGGGACAGCTTTGTGATCTAGCATGTTTTGTTGGATTAAAAAAATCTTTTGACCATTTATTACCCTACTGTTGAACATTTACTTATTGTTTGTCATTTATTATGTTATGATTTTTAGATGGCCTTGGTAGAGTATAATAAATATTACACACTTATAAGACATGTTTAACTAGTTAACCTTTTCTGAAATCTATTTGGATTTCTTTAACTCCTTTTTTACTTCCAATCTTGGATTCTTTGTTCAAGTTGCCCAGTTTGGTATAGTCATTTTTACCATTTCTCAAATTAACATTAGGCAATGATATCATTCATTAAGTTTTTTTGCTTCAAAATTTTGCTTTTCTTTTAGCTGTGGAAAGCAAGATTAAGTGGGTATGAAGAGGCCCTGAAGATCTTCCAGAAAATAAAGGATGAAAAGAGCCCAGAATGGTCCAAATATTTAGGATTGATCAAAAAATTTGTGACTGACTCCAATGCTGTGGTGCAATTGAAAGGGTTAGAAGCTGCGCTTGTTTATATTGAAAATGCACATGTCGCAGGAAAGTAAGTCATTTCTTTCTAACTAAAAGCTCATCTGTGTTTAAAAAACAAAACAAAACTCATCTGGTGCTACATTGATTGTAGCACCTTTGAAATATTTCATTTTCATACTTTCATAACAGCTTGAGCCTTGGTTTTCATTCTGTTTTTATCTACTCATGTCTAAATGGTCTGGGAATCTCTATAGAGAAAGGGAAAATTAGGAATCAGATCTTGAGCTTTTACCTCAAGGCTTAATGAGCAAGTGATTTTCCTTTTGGAGCCTTTTTAATGGAAGCGATTCTAAACTAAACTGGAAAATCGCCAGTCTCTTTTAGGAGAAACTGAGGTTATCAGCAAAGGAATTATCAGAATTAACTGAAGAAACTTAACTGTGGAACCGATTACAAGGATCTACATGTGACCTCCTCCCTGGGGGACGGACAGCAGAAAAGTGGGTGAAGGGAGACGTAGGACAGGGCAAGATATGACAAAATAATAATTTATAAATTATCAAGGGTTCATTAGGGAGGGAGGAGCGGGGAGGGAGGGGAAAAAATGAGGACCTGATGCCAGGGGCTTAAGTAGAGAGCAAATGTTTTGAGAATGATGAGGGCATGGAATGTACAAATGTGCTTTACACAATGGATGTATGTATGTATGGATTGTGATAAGAGTTGTAAAAGCCCCTAATAAAACGATAAAAAAAAAGACTTACCTGTTTTCTTCTGATATCAGAAGCTGGTGTTTGACAAATGCTGCATGCAATCCCAACCACTCGATTCCACTAATTCCTGGAAGTTCAGGTTTCATGTAATTTAGAAGTCATAAAAGTACTGTGAATGCTAGCCAAGGACCAGGGAGTTAAGAGCAGCCATTTGTCATGAAAGGTGTATATCTATTCTCTCTGTGAAAAACAAACCTAGTTCGTCCCTGGAATTGTTGAAAGTGTTGTTGTTTTTAAGCAAGTACTTTTTAATCCTACTTTTGTGAAATATATCTGCATATCTTTTATCTGTCTATCTGAATACATAAAGATCTGAAAACTTGGACCTCTAATAGTTAAAAGTAGGATTTAAGGAGATTTTCGCTTTCTTGTTTGAATTCTCCATCTGTGGAATTATGCATCTAAACATATATAAACTGGGATTTTAAATACATATAACAATATTTGAATCTTAGTTCTATTTTTTTATTTTTTATTTTAATAAATCATTTCATTGGGGGCTCTTACAGCTCTTATAACAATCCATATGCCAATTATAATCAAGCACATATGTACATATGTTGCCATCATCATTTCCCAAACATTTCTTTATACTTGAACCCTTGGTATCATCTCCTCTTTTTCCCACTCCCTCCCCCACCCTTCCACCCTTGTGAACCCTTGATAATTTATAAATTATTCTTTTCATGTTTTATACCATCCACTGTCTACCTTCACCCATGTTTCTGTTGTTCGTCCCCCTGGGGTAGAGGGTTGTATGTCAATCATTGCGGTCGGTTCCCCCTTCCTCCCCGTTCTCCCCCCACCAGTTTTTTGTTTGTTTTTTTTTTGGCTGTGATATGTCTTAAATTTTCATGGTTTGCTTAAAGTTTTTTTTAAAATGTACTTGAAAATAAATAAGAAATTAGAGATGTCTTTTTTTTTACTTGTTTACTTTATTACTAACCATTTAGTAAAGCACGTATACCTCCTTTTCCATAACCTTTTTCTAGCACTTCCCATGAATGTGTAATTTTTGCTCTTTTGTGGTGGTCTGTTATAATTTATTACCGTTTATAATCTAAATTACAGAACAACAGGAGAAGTTGTATCAGGCGTTGTAAGCAAAGTGTTCAACCAGCCTAAAGCCAAAGCCAAGGAGCTGGGCGTAGAGATCTGTTTAATGTACATCGAGATTGAAAAAGGAGAGGCTGTGCAAGAAGAGCTCCTCAAAGGTCTGGATAACAAGAACCCCAAGATCATTGTGGCCTGCATAGAGACGCTGAGGAAGGCCTTAAGGTAAGAGCTTGTCCTTACTGCCATAGTGCTGCTGATAACTAGGATTTCTGAATCTGAGACTAGGTTCCTGTTCAGGCAGGACTAGAAACTGCTGGACTGGATTTGATATGCCACAAGCACCAGTAAGGCAACCTGGAAAAGCCATTCTTCTGCTGTGGTACTTTGGTGTTGAGCAGTTCCGTCTTTTAAGTGTGTTGTATAGCTGCTTTATCTAAACTCTTTCCTAATGAAGACGAATGCTGTATTTTTGGCTTCTCAAATTAAAAATTGACCTTTTCTTGAAAAAGCACTCTTCAGTTAAACAACTCTTTTCTCTTGCTATTCTTAAATTTGAATTTCTGTGTTTTGAAGTGTTGGCTAAAGTAAACCGTTGCCCTTTTAGTGAAGTAGAAGCAAATGCTTTAGGTCTTTAAACAGAAACACAACAACTGCAAATAGAGAATAACTTGTGTAATAAGTTATTTTCCACTCTAGATACTCTTGCTGTTTGACAGTGAAGTTTTTCATGAATGAGATCTCTTTCAGGAGGCAGTGAATCTAATGTGCTGTTAAAATCCCAATCAGGGGCCTCCACTCAAGTACTCCCTCAACACAAGAATACTTTCTTCTAGTAAATTGGCATTCTATGATGCTCACCTTCCCGACACAACTGCTGAAGACAAAACGGGTGAATAAGCAAATGTGGTGAAGAAAGCTGATGGTGCCTGGCTATCAAAAGATATAGCGTCTGGGGTCT